CAAAACCTGAATTTTTCTAGATCTTGGATGACTAAACGGACCTCACAAATGAATTTGTCTCGCGAAATCTAGTTACCCTGTCAAATTTTATCGAATTTCGAGATAGTTGGATTTTTTGCGTTTTACGAGGTGGTCGAGTCTCAGGTGACCCAAAAATGAGATTTTTGATAAAATTTCAAAAGTTAGAAAATTATTTAAGGTAATTTAAAAACAAAAATATTTTGAACTTAAATCGGGACAAAATTTAATAGTTTTAAGGTAAAAGCGGACCCGAAAAAATAGGGTCATGTGACATGTTGTGGGCCAAGTATTGAGAAATATAAATAGGGGAAAATCTAAATCTCTCCCCCACACACACACTCAGCCACTATCGATAAAGAAGAGAGGGAAAAGAGAGAGCTCCTTCACCCTCTCTCTCTACGATCTACGGAGATCGAATGCTCGAATTCACTCGGGCTAAGAAGGAAAGTTGTTCTCCTCGACATGGGCTACAAAACCATACCAAGGAGATCAATTTTGGGCGAGATTCCAAGGACAGGATTTTTGGGAGGAGAAGATTCTAGCTAGAAGCAGGTTCTTGAGACTTCCTACGGTCATTCTTTACGCTTCAAGAGGTAAGATTTCTTCCTACTTGAGTTTATTTTACAATCTTGGGTGTTGTATGTAATGGGTAGGTTGATAGAGATATATATATATATCACTTGCCTATGGATGTGGAATTGGTGAAATGGGTATAGAAAAGGCTTAACAAATGAATTCGTAGCTTGAAATTGATATGTGTGGTGATCACATGTGTAATTCCATGGAATTTGGTGCCTTGGGGTTATGTGAATTTTCCCTAAAGTGATTCATGAAAAATTGTATTATGTGCGCATGCTATGTGTTTAATTTATGTTTTGGAAATTAAGTGTGTTATTGGTATATATGAGGAAATAACATGCTTATGGATTATGGTTGGATAAGAACATGTTGATCTATGCTCTTTGATATATTAACATTGAAATGAAATTTGGCTATTATATGCTTATGACATGAGTGGCCATGAAATATGAAAATATATGTTAAAGTTGCTCATATAGCATTCATTACACGTGGGCATGAAATTGAAATCGCAATGGTACATTACATTGCATATGCACGGAGACATTGCATTTTATGGGTGTGAGTGCATGGTTGGCCTCAAACACCACGTAGGTGGATGATGGGTGGGCTTGGGAAAGTTGGATTGAATATCCGGCAGAAATCGCACTGTTGCATGAAAAGGAAATGGGTCGGGGGTTAGCAAGAAGTGCTAGACTATCCCTCGGGTGAGAGGCCCAGTATTTCGGATATGCACTTCTGTTGGTATAAGAGCTCATAAAGTGTGTCGGTGTACGCAGAGCCATTGGTGGAAGTCCATGAATTCCGTATCGGTTGGGTGACCGTTGGTGTAAGTCCATAAATACCCACCCCCAAGAAAGACCCGGAGATTTTAAATAGTCATTGGGTGTGTAACGCAAATGGCGGGGGCTTGGGAAGCCCGATTTTGATACTCACTACATAGCATGGGGTGAAGGTAAACGACTAGAGCTAGAAAAGCTCGATTTTATACACATTGACATTGCACGTGTTGTGGAGCCAGGAAGGGCTCCGGTAAATTGCATGAATGGTATCATTTCATTTTATGGCATGTCATGTTAGATTCCAACTTTGATTTGCTTAAATCTTGGTTTGGAATGATTGTTGTTGGAAAATGTTGCATGTGAACATTGCATATGCACTTAGGTTGGAGAATAGCCTCTGTAGGAAACATTCTACTGGGGCGTTGGCTCACCCTATACGGGAACACATTTCAAGTGCGGGGTACATTCTGGTGGACGACACTCATTCGAGGCTCGAGGGTGAAGAAGAGCCGGCTTGTGGCTTTTGAAATAAAGTTTTGTAAAATTTTTGTTAAAAATAACGTTTTGAAATGTAAATGTATGAATCAAATGGATAGAATTTGTATGAATCATGTCTATGTAGAAAAATATATTTTACATGTTGAGAATGAGTTTGGAAATGTTTTTGATGAATTGGACATGAAAAATAAGTGAAACAGACAATTCTGGACAAAACCTTCCGGAAGTTTGGACAAAGACAAGGAAAAACTGTTGAATAGTGGGTGAAACCTTCCGGAAGGTCTTCATATTTTTCTAAAATGAGGGAATCCAATGTGTAACTTCTTTCGGAAGGTTTAACACATCTTCCAGAAGGTCAACACACCTTTCTTAAAGGTAGGGTTCCAGTATGCTCGATCTTCCGGAAGGTTTTACAAAAATCTAAAATTTTAAGAATGCATTGTCATACTTTTGGGCGATGTGTTCTTTAGTTCCAATAACGCAAATGGACCTTAATGGGATCTAATGGGGTGTATTGAACCCCGGCTGAATTAAATGATTAAAGGAACACGGGTTACACGTGTGGGTTATAATCCTGAACAAAGGGATATTATTGACGTGATGCCGAAGTGGGCAACAATCACGAGTATTTCCGCGAGTTGACGGGTGGTTAACGGGACCCCCGGTTTTTGGGGTGTCACATAGGTACCTTCATTGTAAACCTTCACGGGTAATACTCCTCCACTGAGGATCGCCTAGCGGTTTAAATTTTTGTGTAAATAGTAGTTATATTACTAGACTAGTAATGTTTAGATTGTGGGGTGTGATTAACCTTACAAAGCTACCATTTATACATATACTAAAGGGTTAATTACATTAGTTAAATAAGTAAAAGGGAGAAAGTAAGGTTATATTTTTATTAAGATGGAAATTAATATTTTGAAAATTTTAGGGTCAAAAGAAAGAAAGTTGAAAGCTTAAGGGACTAAAGAGCCTAAAGGAGAAAAATCTAAGGAAGGCTTCACCATCCGAACGCCCTAGCACCATCTGAATGCACTTGCAGGCACCATTCCTAAGACAAACAGTCAAAAAAGAACAAATCCAGTGGCTTAGCACTGTCCGGACACCATAGGCCAGTAAACCATCTTACACTTCCTTGTTCCCCAAGATTGCCTCCCATTGGTTGTCCTTGCCACCAGTTGCTGCCTAGTGGTTTCTATAAATAGTCCTCCATGCCAAGCATTTGAAGACATTCCACATTTGAAGAAATTCTCTCCAAAACACCTCCCTTAGCCAAAATCTCCTTTATACATTTCTTTTATTTTTATTCTCTTTCTACTTGGAGGTTTGAACCTCTCTCACTTTTCTAACCTTGTGTTGTTAGGAAAGGGGAGCGTTTCAACTAAACCACAGCGAAGAGATTGCTTAGCCTTTGCTATTGCATTTTTAATAAAACATCTCACTTGGAGGAATGAGGTTCTCCAACTACACCTCACTTGCTTAGCCTAAAATCATACAAAAATTTGTATTCGTGAGCACTAAAGGGCGTTGCTCAAAGAGGAGTCTGATTGTGAATCAACCTATGTTTTCAAAACACAAAATTAATTTAGAAAAAAGTTTCTCTGAAAATCCCTAGGAATCATAATAAAATCACTTCCAATTCCATTTTTCATCCTAATCATTCTAAGTTAAAAATAACTAAGGGGTCATCTTAGGTGTCTAGGTCATTGCCTTTGTTCTAACCATGAAGGTGCATAAAAAAAATAAATGATGTAGCTTGACGTTTGATCTCCTCCCTTCAATGTAGTTTTCGGATCTTGACTTGATAGCATCATGACCATGGAAGTGATTGAAATTTTACAATGAATTCCACGAAATTATCCAATTATAAACATGATCTAACAATTTCAATGAATGAATTTATGTGATGAACACCTTGGCATGCCATGTGGTACGTGTGGGGGCGAGTCCATCTGTTTTGGCTTCACGTAGAGATTGAAAGAGATATTACTGGTCTGTTAAGTTCTCTGAGGTGAGTGTATTTTTTTGTGTGGCTGAAAATGGCAAAGGGTATGCTTATTTGCTACTGGTTCATGATTGTGTTTGTCATTGGGTTGTGATTTCGTTGTTAGATATATACTATGTGGCCTTAGTGGAGGAAATATATCTTAAGTGGCATATATTATAGTCTGTGTGGAGAATATTACGTGGCAAATAATATAGTCTGTGTGTATATAGCCTATGTGGAGAATATTATGGACTGTGTGACGGATATTTATGACTTATGTAGCAGATATATAGCCTTAACGGCAGATTTATGGTCTTAGTGGTGGATGTTTATAGCCTTAATAGTGGGTATATTTCATTGACTTATCGTGAGATGATGTTGATTACATATTTAGTTATAATTGACTTATTATGTATATTCTTTTTATTTTTTTCAGTGTGCGTTTATACATTCACTGAGTGCGTTGTACTCATCCCTTATAATTTATATTTTTAGGTGAATAGATAATGAGGGGTGTCTACTGTTGTGTCTAGATAGATGTGTATATTCGAGAAATGTATAAATTTAGGACTCTGAAAATCCTTGGGGACTTGAGATTGACAGGTGCATAGATGTTATATTTTTATGCATGAGTTATATTTTTGTTTTTTTACACCTGGCTGGTGTTTATTATTATGAATTAGAGTATGTGACCAGGTGTAAGAGGCAAATAGAGTTTCATCGAGTGAGTATATGAAGAGTCCAAATTGTGGTTGTAATCAACTAATTATTTTTTCCTTTGAGTGTTCATATTCTCTTCTATTTTCTTTTATTTTATTTTAGACTTCTTGACCCCAACAAAATGGTATCAAATCGATTTTCTAACCGAATTAACATTGGAGTAGTTCCAACAAATTCATATGCTTGCTTAACAACTAACTTAGATAAGAATCATTTTATATAACCAAAAGGATATCATGCAAACAATATTTTATCGTAACATTTCTGCTATCTAGTTTCTTTGGTGAAGATCTTCCATGCTACTTATTAGACCTAAATTTTTCATAGATTATCGTAAATATGAGTTCTTGCCCAGAAACTTTAATTTCATCCTATTTTCAGACACATAAATTAAGTTTCACCTCCAAGATTCTTTAGTCCTTTATAGGGTAGCTGCTCTCCATAGCAATGCCACAAATACCTTTTTTGTCAGTGGAACCACGCTTCATCTTGATAAAACCACCTTCACCCCAACCAGTGCCCCATGAATTCTTCACAAGCCAATACTTGAAGCCATTTTCAACACCATATCCTACTATTGTTACTCCATGATTGAGGTTCTTCCCACAATAACCAGAAAAGACCCCATCGGAGTAGAACTGGAAATCATAGCCACCGGCATCAACTGCCACCGATACGGGTTGGCTAGCAACCACAGTTTGTAGGCTCCTCTCATCCTCACGAGGTACTATACCATGGCCGCTTATTGTCACAGCATGGTCTTTTTTTTTAGCACCGTCACATTTGCCATCTTTTCCCACATAAGGATAATTGCTTTCGGTGGTGATACCACCATTTCTTTTTATGAATTCGAATGCTTTGTCCATGTATCCACCCTTGCAACCTTCGTCCTCGCTGCTGACATCGCAGTCCACCAGCTCCTGCTCTGATAGAGATACCAATTTGCCTGTTTTTATCATATTAATGCCTTCAACAGCTGCCACAGCAGAGAATGCCCAACAACTTCCTGCATCAAATATTCCTTTTTAGATAATTGAAAATGCCAAATTGAACTAGGTACTAGGGAAAAAAACATAAATATGTGGTTCTTTTAAAAAGATTGCTTTCATGCGAGTTGGACAAAATTATCGATCTGCAGCTATTGGCAATACAGAAAGATAAATTTTAAACTATGACCAGAGTGCTTGAAATTGAGCTGTTGTCTATAGAGTGTTTTAAGAAACACCATATGGGAAAATCGCATCGATAACCGCAAGTTTTATATTGATCAATTGCAGATAGCCTCTGCAGAAACTCTGGGTGCGTGCCTTTGAATTTGAAAGTGAACCATTGCCCCTTAATTGGAACTCTATTTAAAATTGCTTGAAGATTATTATACCAGTTGATGATTTCAAGAACAACACAAGAGAAAACGTATAAAAAAGATAAGAACCTAATCGTCACTCACTCCCTTTTATATAGAAAAAAATCGTCAAAAAATAATCGTGTATTGATTACTGTTTCACAAAAGAATAGTTATGCATTTTAATTTACAAATTACACACTTATATACGAATAAATGTGTACTACTACACTCATGATCAAGGTTGAAGGTATCCATCAAACTCGGACAAGGAAAATGTATAAAAGAAATCTTGGTCACCAAAACTATCTCGGCCGCTCGGATCTACTTATTCCCAATTGGTAATATTTGTTTTTTAGTGTTTTTGTCTGGTTTTAAGCAGTTGGAATTGTTTTCTTTTTGTTTCTCTTTGTCTTAGATTATTTCATTCCTTACAAATTGATCGTATGTACAACACATGTTATATCCTATTTAAATGCAGTTAGGTGTCTGAGCTCCAAATTTTACATACCAAATTTTATAATTTTTAATTTTGTAAATACATTTTAATTTATACATAACAATATCTCACTCTTTTTATTAGTTCTCATATTCTTAATAAACTTACTCTGACTAAACTCCCAACTCCATACTCCCACTATTACTGCCTTCCTTTTCTAATCAGGTACTAGATTTTTATAACATTTAATTATTTAAATATAATGCATTGATTTCATCAAATAACTACTCCAACAAAACTATTTTAAATTTAAAACTTTCATCCTTCTCAATTTTGCACAATTATATATACTTTTTTAATAATACTAGGATTGAGGTGGGAGTAAGGATGAGTAGTTGCAATAGGGGATGGAGGTGAGGTACAGGAAGTAATAGGGCTGATAGAATTGTGATGAAGAAAATTAAAAATACCGTTTATTTCACGGGACGTCCCTATTATGCTCCTATATGTGTACTTGTATAGCTTGTATTAAATGGTATAGGATCGTTTTTACGAAATAATATCAAAAATACTTCTTAACTTTAAAAATTAAAACAAACATACTAAACGAGAGGTAGTTTAAGGTCCATTCAGGTAAATAGCGTGAAAAAAAGTGTACAATTTATACCACATTCGCCTTGATCCTTCACTGGGGTCACAACACCTTTCTTTCTCCAGTCGACGCTGGTGGGCAAACCTCTAATTCTATCAACTGTTAAATTTGTCGCCATCCTCGAACTCCTATCCGTCAAAAGGCCCAAGTAGATAGATTTGAACTCCTCATTTGTCTTGTCCGCAAATTTATTGTCAGCAAGTTTGAAAGAAAGGTTCTGAGAGTTCACGTAGTCGATGAACTGAACATTTGACTGGTAGATTCCAAACCGTAGCTCCCATTCATCTTTATTGCCGTATTTTCGGCCATGTCGTTCCAACCACTTCTCATACCTCCTCTTCATCGATTCTGGGTCATACTTTTTGGGTTTGTGCACGCGAGAACCTGCTCTTGAAGTTGTGGATAGAACCAAAAAAATCACAACTGTCAAGCAAGCGCTTCTTAAGTGAAAAGAAGTCTCCATAGCTGGTGTGGATGAATATACATAGTAAACACTAATGCCTGAATTTGTGTAACATTTATGCATGTTCACATTTTTTTTGTTGGCAGGGGGTGGGGGTGGTATTCCAGCTGTTTGTCTTGCTTTGGTCATGTCTTTTGCACTTGCGAAATTTATGAAACAGGTTCGTTATGCATTTTCGGCTGATTGTTGTTTATCACTTCTCGTCTCATTCAGGTGTTACGTACCCATGCAAATGCTGTAAGCTTGCTTAGCCTTAGCACGACAAGGAGTGATGCTTGAACATGGGTTTGCCTTTTAGAGCTTTTACTAAAATCCGGCCCTTTTTCAAACTTCAACCCAAAATCGGGAGGGTTTGAAAATAATTTTTAAACTTAGGAACTTTTAAAACGTTGGTTCAAACAACGTTTCTTTGGCTTAAAACGTCAATCTAATTGACAACTTCAATTAAAATATTGGCATTTTAAACTTGAAATTTGTGAACTTTTAGCAAAAAACAATGTTATTTGGACTCCATTAAACGTCAGTCAAATTGACGTTTCTAACGTTTAAATAAATCACTCACGTGCGGCTCCTCTACTGTTCGAGGAGAACAACACATTTTGATGTTAGACTAAACTACATCGTTTTGATTAACTTTTCTTTTTAACTTCTTAAAAAAAAAAATTAGGTTTATACCCAAAAAGTAAACACTTCTCGTTCTTTCTTCTCACACAAACAAAGTTTTCACTGCTACAAAAGCTACCCCTACCCATCACCCCTTCCAAAAAGCTACTATGACGCCCCATAATCCGGGGATCCATTGATTACTCATCAACCCGCTGAATACATGTGAATACTGAGTAATTCGATATCATGCCGTTATGCCCATTTACCAGGATCCATAATTTTAATAAAATTCGGGCAGAGTCTCTTTTGTATAGTAAGCTCTACCCAAAATCTAACCAGTGCAATATACATTTACATGACCCATCTGAGGGCCAATATAAAACAATGACCGCACCGGGTCCATTTATGAGTAAACATTGACAACACCGGATCCATTTATCCACACTCATATAGAAACATGCAAGGTTATATTAAAAATAGTCTATATAAATTATATTACAATTCTTTTACATACATTACATGCCCAAAACTAACTTTCAAAAGTTAGTACAAAAAAAGGACTAAAAGCCACAAGGCGACCTCTCTTCACCCTTGAGGCTCCAAATAAGAGCGGTCCACCGGTGTATATCTTGCACCTGAAATGTTTTTCCTTATAGGTGAGCTACGCTCAATAGAGTATCTCCTACAGAGGCTACTATCCAACCTAGATGCATATGAAATGTGAATATGCAACAATCAACAACCATTATCCATTCCAAACAAGAATATGTAATTCAAGATTGAAATTCTACCATGTCATGTCATGATATGAGATTATACTCACTCATGCAACTTTAACCCGAGTCCTCACCGACTCGCACAACACAATACGATGCACATATGTAATAAATCCATTAATTGACGAAAAATACATCCAATGATTGTTTGAAATAAAAGTGATGTATTTATAAAACCAAATCATTGTGGATATTATCCATTAAATGAGTATTTTTATAAAACAAAATCTTGTATTTTTGTTGGGCAACGAATTTTGGTATCACAACCGCTAATTTCGTATACCATCACACTTTTCTAGAATTTCACCTCAGGGGAGTGTGTGAACCAAGTAGCCGGGGTTTTGCACCCAAGGAAGAATCTAGCCTTTTTGCTATACCTGACACAAGTTTTTCATGCGTGTAACCGTGCGACTCAGTCGGATCTTTAATTCAATTTTCCCGAGCCCACCCATCAAACACCAAGTATGGTGTTTGATTAAACTATGCACCCACACTCATGCATAAAGTCCATGAATGTGATGCCAACACCATGCCCAATATGCAATAATGCCAAATGAGCAATTCAACCACATGTCTACATGTTCCATGGTAATTTATATCACATGCATATAATCACCAAAATTCATTATCATGTCAATACATCAACTAGCATGTATCAACATTTATTCCCAACACAAGGCTCAAGTATGACATTTCACAATTTCAAGCCAATCACACTTAATCACAAGACATAATATAAACATATAACATACCCACATAAACCAATTTTTCAAGGGATTACACAAGTAACTCTCACATATCAAAATCAAGCTAGAAGTTGAACACACACACACACATACTAATTTATAAGTTCAACACACTCACTTTACTACATATTAAAGCACACATAATTTTCATCACTAAGAAATTATACAAGTACTTCCACATATCAAATTCAAGCTAGAAGTTGAACACACACACACACACACTGATTTATGAGTTAAACATACTCACTTTACTACATATTAAAGCACACATAATTTTCATCACCAAGAAATTACACAAGTACTTCCACATATCAAATTCAAGCTAGAAGTTGAATAAAACCATTTCTATACCCATCGCCTCTTTTCCATAACCATAGGCAAGTTTTTATTCAATACAATATCCAAGCACACTATACATAGTCCATATGACACATACCTAATTTTCACCTAGGCATTTAATCAAACACCTTCAAGGCACCACTCATGTAAACACATAATACCCTCAAATTCATCATATAGCTCAAGAAATCATATTTAGTGATTTCTACAAAATCATTTCAAAATAGAAATTATTCTACCCATTTCTTAATATCCATCTATCATAATCTTCCAAGAAATTATAAAGTAGCAACTTCTAAATCCCAAATCAACTTGGAATTTATTTTATCCAATTTCCATATCCATTTTCTACACCTCAAGTACCTATAGTTTTTCATGAAATTTGCCAAACAAGTAAATTCTACAACCCATTTTTTACAAGATTTGTTTAGCACATTTCGGTACCCATTTCCCACACTTAATATACACTAGTGGTGCATTAAACAAGAGAATTTATCTCAAGTCATGCTACCCATTCTCAATACCCATTTCACCAAGACAACAACAATAGGCAAGTGACATATAGCTCTATACACCTACCCATTTCATATCACATTCCTAAATCACTTTATTTCACATAAAATGCCCAAATTTATCACATAACTCAAAAAAATCAGAATAAATGATTTCCAAATACCCAATTATCAAAACTTCCATGGAATCACAAACTATTCTAATTACCAATTCACACTAGAATTGAGTCTACTCATTTTCATTAAACCAACTATACTAGGAAAGTGTTAAAAACACTAAAAACAGCCCACCCATTTCCTATGGACACCATAGGATGGAAATAAACCAAAGTAGGAGGGAACCCTACCTCTTGGAGCATAAAACGAAAGATAGAACCTTCAAGAACACCAACACCAACCTCCAAGTCTTGATTGTCCAAAATCCCTCTTTGGATATTCGGTGAAATCCTTCGTTCTTGGTACGTAGATGTAGCCCTCGTCACGGTGATCAACTGTAACTCTTGGTCCAAGTGATTCTGACTGACCAAACTCCGTGAATCGAAGAGAGAATGGTAGAGATTTTTGTTTTTCTTCTTCTCCTCTCAATGTTCAGAACAACAGAGAACCTAGCATTGAAATGTCTCAAAATCAGATATTTAATCCATATTTATACATTTTAACACTTGGCCCACGTCGTGCAACATGCCTCCCTTTTTCCTAGGTCCGTTTTTGCCCTGAAACAATTAAATTTCGCTCTGGTTCAAGCTCAAAATATTTTATATGAAATTGCTTTAAATTATAATAAAATTTTAAATTTTTTATTTTTTGGGCATTTTTGAGGTCATTCGACACATGTTACCTCGAAAAACGTAAAAATTTGATTATCTCAGAATTCGATGAAATTTATCTGGATAACTAGATTTTGCAAGATGAATCCAATGGCGAGGTCCGTTTCGTAATCCGAGATCTAAAAAATTTAAGGTTTGCAACCCGTGACAAATTATTGTTTTGCCCCTTTTCGTAAAAAATTTAAATTTACCTGGGTTTTACAGCTACCCCCTGCACATCACTTCTTCTCATTCTATCTAATCAAGCAGGTAGAACCAATTCAACAGTCATGCCAAGCAAGCATGAACTAATTGGAATCAAAATACAGATTTTAGAGCGAGTGGGTCTTAGGGAGAGAGCCCCTATAAAATACTAGATGATTTTAGACTCTCTAATTTGTCCATATTCTCTCTCATTTCCTATAATAATGTGGATTTTCTTTACCCATAAAAGAGACGAAAGATACATCTCCAAACAGACTCACTTGGAAAAATTCTTGAAAATTTTCAAATTTGAAATATTTACACCCATCGGAGGAGCTCATGAACAATGAGCATTTTTTGAAGAAAAAAAAATTGTGTGTGTATATGCCAGAATTGTGTGTGTATATGCCAGAAATTGTGTATGGGCATATAAGAGAGACAGAGTTTCATGGGTTCCTATTTTTGGTTGAAATATTTTTGAAAAATAAGTGCCTTATCAAACTATTTGAGGAGAAAACGTTGGTCAAAGTGAAATTTTTCGAACCTTATCAAATTATTTGAGGAGAAAAAATTGGTCAAAGTGAACTTTTTAAAAGTCAGCCTTTATGTTAAAGACATTAGTCTGACACACGTTTTTCATTTAAAGACATCAGTATGACTTATGTTTTTAAAACTACCTGAGTTTGATAATTATTTTCAAAACCACCAAATTTTGGTTGTAAGCTTTCAACTCCTGCATTTTTCTTGAAAAACTCGATATTATAAAGGCATGTGAAGACTAGGCTTAGATTTTTAAGCGGATACGCTCGCTTAATATTCGAGGTTTAAATGTTCCTCTAATTCAGAGTGTGGTTCAAACCAAAGTTCAACGGATAAATTTACAAAAATTGGTCGATAAAAGCATTTTAGGGATCATTTCAATGAGTTTTTATTTTTTGGAGTAATAGCACTTTTTGTCCTTGAAGTATTTATGTTTTGTCAATTTATTGGTCAATGTATAAATTTTGTTAA